GGGAGGGAGGGGCCCAACCCTGACCCCAGCATTCGAGGGGCAGCCCCCCCAGTGCCCAGCACAGGGGCATGGTCCCTGCCCTGCTCCTGCTGGCCACACCACTCCTGCTACAAGCCAGGATGGTGCTGGCCCTCTTGGCCACCTGGGCACCCTGCTGGCTCATATTCAGCCGCATGTCGACCAACACCCCCGGGGCCTTTTCCATCGGGCAGCTTTCCAGCCCCTCTGCCCCACGCCTGGAGCGTGTGGGGTTGTGGTGACCCCAGGGCAGGACCTGGCCCTTGGCCTTGTTGAACCTCAAACAATTGACCCCATCATCTAATCGTCTCTGCCCCAACCTTCCCACAAATTCCAGCTGTGCTAAGACACTGCTGAGTTATCAGCCTGCCTGGGCATCGTTCAGCTGGCAGAAGAGTAAGCAGAAAACAAAACACTGAGCAGTGTAGCTATGCTGAGAATAGGTACAGATCAGGTCCATTTTTTATAAAGTGCTTTGAGATCCTTGCATGAGAGTGCAATAGAAGTGCCAGATGTTATTATAAGGAGATGCAGTCCCATTACTTGTACACAGAGTTGTGCTGCCTGCTAATAGCACCATTATCTTAAGGCACGTGGTGCTATTAATGCATTTCACTGCTTGGTGCTGAACCTGGGGACCATTATTTCCATTGGAAAGGTAAGGCCAGTTCACATGACATGATTTAAACCTCTACAGTGAAGCATGCATATGCTGCACCAGGTCGTAAATCTTAACGGGATGCTGTCAGCTAGAAAGGGACCAAAATTGAAACCATTTATCTGAACTCCCCACCCATCCACCTCTGCTCACGGAGGCCAGTTTTGGGAAGAGGGATAAAATGATTCCAAATGCCTGCTGGGTTCATTAAGCAGCAGCAAATCCCAGATCTGCAAGCACTGCTGGTTTTGTCCTGTTCTCCGTGAATGAATTTGTTCATTCAGGACACTTAGGACTTCCTCAGTTTTCCCCACTCTGAGCAGAAAAACCATAGCAGGGTCAAATCTCACTACTTCTTCCTATTCTTGCTCCCACCTGAGTCAAAAGACAACCTGTCATCATCTCCTTACTGAGAACCACAGGACCGGTGACACAGCTGAACTGTTCAGATCCCACCAACCAGTAGGTAAGAGCTCCTCTATGCTGCAGCCCAGGCTTTAGGGTTGTAGAGATGCCTTTATCATATTCATGAAAGAAAATATGAATAAAAGGAGTAGTTACCATTTCGTCTGATACTTGCCTGAGCAATTCCCTTTGCTGGCCTCCTGCAGTTGCCAACTAGTGACTTCTTTGTGGCTTGGTGTTCTCCTTATCTGGGCCCGTTTCTGGTAGCATAACTATCAAGGCTGACTAACAAATGAACACTAATGGGTAAAAGGCTACATGGACATTCCTTCACAGGCCAAGGACAGGCTTAAAACAACAGAATGAAGGCAAGCAATTGTATTTTAGGGTACTCGACTACAATAGTAGCACACCTGTAATGTAGATTTGCAGGGCAAATATGAAGTGACTCTTGGCTTCATAAAAGAGCTAGAATCTGATGCTAGAAACACACCAAAATTACTCTGCCAGGACACTGCAGCTACTTCTGGGGTGGGGTGGTGGAAATATCAATTGCTGATGGCAGAGTTAAAAATTACCATGGTGGCCTTAATACCAATCCCGAGCAAAAAACTTCAGTTTCCTGGGTCTCAACCATACTAAGATGACTGCATGATAATTTGGTTAAAATAAAAACCATCCTTTGTTCTGATAAGTCTGGTGTGTCTCTCTTCCCACCTGCATGGTCCTGTATGTGGTAGGTCTCCACCACTTCTCAGGAGCTGCTCAGGTAGGAAAGGATGGTGACAACACGATATTTGATGTTCACCAAATACCCATTCCTTGTCACAGGTGGCACAACCCAGTACTTCAGCTCAGCACCCCCAAAAGCTCTGCAGCACCCGGAGGACTCTGAAAGGCCATTTTAGGTTTGCAATGAACGTTTTTAGATATAGAGCCTTGCAATGACGGTAGCTCAGAGTCACCGTTCTTTGTAATGACCATTTTGCAGATGTCTGTCTTCTTGCTATACCCACACATAGCACTGGGAAGAGTCTCCCATTTTACTTCAGATACTGAAGAGGAGCAGAAACGAAATATAATCGGAGTTACAGAAATGTTGAATGCCTAGTCTCTGCCAGAGAGCTGAAACTCTGTATCTCGTGGCTAAGATTTCTGCTCAAGTAACAGAAAAATAACACTTCTGGAACAGACTTTGAAATTATATAAAAAAGGAGAGTGTTAAAAAAGATACACATTTCCCAGAACATAAAGTAAAGCTCATTTATGTCTCATAAAATACATGATTAACCATAGTTAACCATTAATTCAGCTGCACTGCATTAGAACTGCTATTCAAAGTTGGAAAGCATTTAATATTATATATTGCTGCTGCTCAGCCTAAATTGTTTTTTTTTTGCCCCCTTTAAATGTACACAATATTACAAATTTAATTTTAAGCTGTTTGAATCAGTCTGTAAAAAAGATTTGATTATACCTGAGTGTTCTGGCCCCAGTTTTTCCATATCTCAGTAATCTTGGCGGTAATTGGCTGATTAGCTCCCTCACACTCCATCTCTGCCTCAGTTTCCATGGTAATGTTACAGGAGCTATTATAGATGAGAACTTCATCTCTTTCCACTTTAGGGCTGAAACGAGAAGGGAGGTTAAATGGGGTGTCATCAATCTTAATGAAATGCAATTATTTTTACTCTTATTAATCATTGCAAGCCATTAGCTTGTGGCAACTCCTGGCCACCATTTGTCAAACTTTGCAAATTTCTGTAATTTTGTTTCCATTCTTTTATTGTTTATTTGTTTTTTCCCCCCTTTATCTGCACACACTCAGGATGAAAATACACGCAGTAAAAATCTCTCAGTGATGCCTTTCTGCTTCCCCAAACTATTACAAATAGTAGCAAATGCCATTCTAGGACCAAGGCGGGGAGATAAGTGCAGACAACAGCTAGAGAATCAGCAGTGTTAGGATCAAAGATGGACTCCTACATGGAGTAGGGTTTGTTCGTGTCTGCCCCCTCCCCATCTTACTCACACTTAGCAATAGGGAATGAATAACTTGCAACTCCCCTAGGGCAAGTGGAGAAATTGGAAAAACCACACAACTGGCTAACTGGTCCCTAATTCCAACTGTGAAAAAATGAGCTCATTTAGGGGTTCCAATTCCTGCTACCCAGCTGATTGCAATGATGCTTTTTTGCTAGGATTGGAACATTAACTTAGTAAATTAATTAAACTTACTTAACAGCCCAGACTAAGCAGATTCGATATATGTGCCGGTTATACTAACAGACATTTGTTCTAAAACCTCCCCCTGCATAGGGGGAAGAAGTAATAGAAAAGGTGGTGGGGAAGAAACATTTTTTTGCTTGGTCTTGCTGCTGAGAGCTGATGACTTTGGTAGCATTTTGTTACAGGGAGCTATAGGACACAACATCCCTCAAAATGAGGGGAAAACATCCCAGTTTTGCTTCTGCAGGCTTTGGATGAGGCCAGGATAATCCAATGTCCCTTTTGATTCCTTCCCCAGCCGTTGCTCCTTCCTCCTCCTCTCCCCACCCCACCATCAAATGCACACCTGCAACTTTAGGAAGGAGAGCAGAAAGGAGGTACGTTATAGCAACAATATAGCTCAGAAATTATACCCAAGAAAGGACAGAGTGCACAAAATAGAGGATCAGATAGGCAGGACCAGGATTTTCAGAGGTCTCCAGGTTCCTGAAAGCCCCACCTAACAGGATTTTCTAAAGCGCCAAAGTTAGGAGCATATGCTCTACCAAAATCGACCCAGTTGGAAAGCCAATACTCAGAGCTTTCTCGGGAGCGTGATGATGAACCTGTGATGATGATTTGATGAACCTGAAGTTTTCAAACCATACTGGATGTGGCAGCTCCCTGTACAAACAAAGAGCTGCTCTGATGGTACATTTAGGGGGTATTTGTTTTGTTGCCCTTTTTCAGGGTTAAAGGAAGCAGCAACATTAGAAACTACAAAAAAAAAAAGCACCTTCTGCAAGTAGCTGAACCTTTTTAACAGTGAATTTTTATTTCTCTATTTAAATGAACCTTTCCCTCTGCTGTACCAATAATCAAAAACCAGCCGTAGGGGAACTACACTCGCTTTTGATAGCAATACTTTGAGAACTGCTCTTGTCCTGTACAATAATTCAATGGACTGGGCTATCTTTCAAGACTTCATAGTACTTATTTTTAATGCTACAAGAAAAAGCTGCATCTTTTAAATAACCAACTGCTTGAAAGGCAGAAGGGGGTGGTTGTTGGCTAGATGCAGGGCACGGGCCCAATTTGCCAGGCGCTGAAGTCAATACAAGGACCTCTGAGCGGCTGCTCGCATCTTTTTACAGAAAGTTAACAAGCTTTGCTTGTAGGCAATGAGCCAATTCCTCCCTGTCCCCTAGTAACTGCATCCCGAAATCTTGATGCTGGAGAGCTGTTGACAAATTGTAGTGTTTAAAGGAAATGCAAGAAAAGGGGTGACCTGATAAAGGGAATTCAGGGCTGCATCTTGGTACCGGTGTTGTTAGTGGCAAGACTTGCACCTCTCCTAAGGAATATGCATTGGCCATTATGGGTTCATAAAGTATAGGCTATAGCACAGACTAGGTTAGGAGAAGCTTTATTCAAGCCACTGTAAAACTGGTAAGAAAGGAGAGATTTAATGTGCAGTTAAGCCCGGAATGATTTCAATAGTTTTGTCCCCATCCTGGAATGAATGTCTTAAGTCTTGAACATTTGCACAGAACAAAAATCCATATTTTTATTATTGTCATTATTAACTACTATCATTAATTACAGCAATGTGTATTATTTCAGGAATTCCCCAAAATAATTCTTTTCTAGTTTGAACATTTTAATTTTCTAACACTTTGCTACAAAGTCCATTAATATTTTGAAATGTAACATTTTTCTGAACTGAAATTCAAAAAAATATTCTCAAAAGCTCTGAAATAGGTAACTCAGATGACTTGAAACTCTCTCTTCCTCTACTTCTCCCCAGATTTTTCGGATCAGGAAACTCACTTGAAATCAAACAACCTTTTTTGCCCCTGGCAGGAGCCAGTTTAGAAATAGATTCACCAGAAAAAAACCATTGGTACCCTGGAAAATTCCTCAGCAGCCCAAGTTTTAATTTCTAACCACTAGACAAGCATGAGCACAACAGGGGAAAAGCTGATGACAATAACGAAGAGGTTGAAGAAGTTGGAAGAATGGGAAAATAGTAGGTAAGAAAAAGTTGATTGATTTGATTCAGAAATATCTTCCTGGTAGGATTCCCTGAAGGAATAATAAATAAACCCTGTCTCTGGGACATTCACAATTAAATTAGACAAAAACACAGTGAAAAACCATAAGGAAGCAGGCAGCAAATGGACTGCATGACTTCTCTGTCCACAGGATAAGCACCGGCTCAGACCACCCTCCCTGCTCGTCCTGCTGAGACCAGCACGGAGAAGATACAGCAGCAGAATTGTGGCAGCCCAAACCAAGAAAAGGAGCAAGGAGAAAAAAAATCATAGGAATAAACTCATTGCAGATGCATTTTTAACAGCAATGGGCTGAGCGTGATTTTGATATCCAGGGAAGAGGAAGCAAAAAACCAAGGGACTGATGCTGGGTTGCCCTGCTGCTCTCCAGTTGGTAGGTTACCTGGGTTGTGGTTGCACTGGTGTGAGCAGAAGGAAAGCAAATTTCAGCTACTCAAGACAAGGCTCCTGGACTTTCTTGTTTTGAAACAAGTCAGTCTAGGAGCAATAGACCTGATGAAATTAGTTCAATTTCAGGATTATTTTTTCCCCCTCTAAGTCTCCCTACTCTTGTCTTCCCCAGCAAAACTGTCTTCCCCATCTCCTAAGACATTATGGGACATTACCAATGCACAATGTGATTTTGGAAACCTCAGCTGGCCAGCTGTACATACCTGTTGTCTGGCCTGTGACTTGCTGACAAACAACAGATTAGGGCAGAATTCTGCCCTCCTCTCCCTCAACAGGAAAATAATTTCTTTCTGTTTAACACAGGTTTTCTCAAAGCTGACAAGAATTTAATCATTCTTAAGACATGCACCCCTTATGAAAGCCAGGTCAAAGTAATCAGAGCTCAAAAGCTGGTGGGGAGGAAATTGCAGACTGACAGGCAGATGTTGTAACTGTGTAAACTTTTTTTTTTTAACTTTTCTTTTTTTCTTAACACATTAAAAAAAAATAAAAATGTGCGACTCGTGTCCTGCTGTCTTTGTTCAATAAATGCCAGGTGGTTTCCTTCCCTCAACACAGGGCATCCGGAACATCCTCACCACCAGCTGTGACATAAGGACCAGATAAGAATGAGGACCAAATCTCTGCAACTCCACTGAGGTACCTGGACTGTAGCATCATGTACCAGCCAGGGACGGGTTCACCATATACAGCAAATCATGGGCAATGTACTGCAGTGGTATTCTAAATCTCTATTTGTTCAGCGTCTTTTGGAAAGTTTTGTTCGTTTATTCCTTAATTCAGGCCTCCCTCTTACTCCTAGAAGTAAATGCTCTGCAGGCATAAATCCCCACAGCTCCATTAAAGGCAATGGTACCATTTTATACTCCTGGGCAGCTCGGCCTTGGATTTGCAAAGCCTGAGCCTTGAGTAAGTGCCTGAGCACCCTTGCTGAGTAAATATTGCACAGCCTGCTGAATTTTCTCTGTGACTTTTTACTCATGAAACTGCTTGGAGAGAGGAAGGGGAAAAAAAAGAAGAAGAAAAAAAAAAACCTTCTGCTTTTCATAATGCCTAATCTTTTTCCCCATTGGCATCCACCAGATGTTGCTTTGGATCAGAAGATAAATATTAAAACCTAAGAAGGAACAAAGCAGGCTGTTTATGAGATGGATTTTCTGATGTCTCTCAAACACTTAAAAAGATGGGAGGGAAGGAGGGGGGACTAGAGATGCTTTGATAGACACAAGGAATGAATTTCACAACCCAGCGGAGCTCTCTAGTGGTCTCAAGGCTAAATTGCTCTGTTGGCATCAACCTAAGAATTAAGATTTTGCTCCTTCAGTCCATCATTTCGCAGGGCCCAATTCTGCAAGAGGTGGAACACCTTCTGGGGGATGTTGCTCATGAATGGACCCACTCAGCTGTTGGAGAGAAGCACCACTAACCTGACAAAGAGTCCAGCAAAACACCTCTGGGGTGGGTTGGTGTCCCTCCAGTGCCACTGAGGTGGGCTGTCCTCACAGACATACAGGTAAGACACAGATCCTCTCTGGTGATAGGACTCCACCGTGACTTGGACATCACACTCAATGAAGGTGGCTCTGTCTTCTCGGCAGTCAACAGAAGAATGTGTCAGGCCACAGAGAATGGCCAAAGATGCTGCAAAAACAAGAGGGGGGGGGAAAAATAACCCAAAGCAGCCATTGACATTAAGCAGATTTTAACAACTGACAGTTGTCACTGTGGATTCCTGATGTGCATGTCCCAACCTCCTTTTTGGTGTATCTTTTTGGGGGATTAGTAGGTCTCTATGTAACTCCTTCAGCCCCTTGTTCTTTGTGTGAGCAAACATATAACGTCCTCTGTGCACTGAGCATCGTGATTGGCTTTACAATCAAATTGCTTCATTCAGGAGGAGGTGATATAAGTGCTTAAATAAGAGCATGGACATTTCTTCTGAGGAAGATGGACCACGGTTTACAGATCAGGAATAAGGCACAAATCTTTCACCAGGGACATATGACAACTTAAGGGCTAGCACAGCTTTGAAATCCAGAAATAGGTTTAGTGAAAGCATTGCCACAGCTTGGAGGGCTTCTTGGGAACTTCTGTGAACTGGGATCTCTCAGTTCATCTTGCTCTATACCTGACCATGACAAGAGACTTGGTTGAAGTTTGACTCCATGGATGTGGTAGGAAGTGTAATGGGAGCAGCTCCTTTGCTTTGAGGTATACTTAAAGGAGCAAGTGGTGTGAACAGAAATTACGCTTTCTTATTCCAAACTCAGACAAAAATGCATAAAAAAATTGTGAACTGTCACTGAAGTTCACATCAGTTGAAATATTCGGGTTTAATAATTTTAAAGAAAAAGGAATCCTCTAGGCATTAAACCATGCTGTTTCTCCCAAAACCCTGAGCATGTAAAGACTTTTGGAGAATTTTCATTAATCCTGAGCTAATCAACAGTTGTAATGAACTTCTGAAAAGGGGTGTGGAGAGTACTGTACTCTGCACTGTAATATCCAAGCGTGTTCCTCAAGTATCAGAAGTGCAATCATCGGGAATTCATCAATAAAGGATTTTTTTTTGTTTGCTTTTTTAAATTCCAGTTTGTTCAAAAGATATCTTGTTTGCTGGGAAAGTGTCGTTGTCAATTAATGTCTTGGCTCCTAAGCAATTCTGAAAATGGTTTTTGAAATGGTAAAAATAAGAAAACGCCATATTTCCTATGTTAAAAGATTTAGTGCTTTTTACTGACAATGATTATTTCATACGGAGTATTTTTGAAAAGTTTATAGCTGTTTAATGTTTAAGGTATTTTTTGAAATATTAAAACCTAGCATTTCGTCTGCTCTGAACTTCAGAGAGTTCACCATTTTTCTGTATTTTTCTTCTCTTGATTTAGAATAAGAAAAAAGTTACCCACATCGTCACACATTTTGCAATATGCTTAATCTCTTTCCTTCCCCACATCCAGTGACAATTCTCTTGCTCGACATCCGTTCAAACACAGCCAAACACAATCCCTGCCTCAAAGACCTACATAGAAACATGAGAGAGACAAGTAATAGACAGAGAAGCCTAACGGGATGATGGTGGCATGCCAATATTTTGCTTTTATTGGCCAGGAATTATGTCTAGAGCCACCTGAGGTGTCTTATAGTGCCCACAGAAGACTTGTGTCTTCCTGGAGGCCAGGCTGCCATTCCAGGGGCATTTGAAGTGTCACTGGATAGTTTGTGTTTGGGAAAATTAATACCATCCAAGAGGACTAAATACTACCAAGAAGCTGCCTTTGTAACAACCTGCAGCAGAGACAATTCATTACAGGAATCTCCCCAAAAGAGATGGCATGTATGCTTTTTTCCAGCCAGTGGGAGGCTGAGAACTTCTCAAAACCAGCAAAAAGGAAGAACATCCAAGCAGCGATGGCACTGCCCTTTCCTTCCTCCACAAACCAACGACTTTCCTGTGGACAGAAGAATTTGTTCCCCTTTTATAATAGGGTATAACAGTTCCTTCTGCTTTCCTATTCTATACTACTAGTGAGACGAAAGGCTGTGATAAGCTCAGACATGTTAATGGAGAACATACAGCTACCTTAGATGAATAAGTAACTAGAGCATTATTAGTGAACAGAACAGAACGGAACAGAATAGAATAGAATAGAATATTTTTAGTTAAAAACAACCTACCACGGTCATCTAGTCCAACTGCCTGACCACTTCAGGGCTGATGAAAAGTTGAAACATGTTAGTAAGGGCATTGTCCAAATACCTCTTAAACACTGACAGGCATGGAGCATCGACCACTTCTCTAGGAAGCCTATTCCAATGTTTGATAACCCTCTGAAGGTGGGTGGTCAGAGGCAGATTAAATTCACATTCCACAGCTTAAGAAAAAACACCAGGTTGCTGAGCTAATCAGAAGAGGCTTTGATTTTCTTCTGTGGTCTTGAAAAGAACATGGCAGTGTTTTCCTAGGCGGAAAAAACAGCTGAACCCTATTTCAGGTTGAATGTTAGAAATGACCCACAGAATCTCAGGACATGAATATTTTCCTCAATACCATGCTGCTGTCAAAGAAATTGCCTGGCTAATGTAGGTCACCAGGAGATATTTCCTGCACAGCCCTTAGAGCTCAGCAGAAGAACAGCCAGCCACATTTTGGATAACCCCAAACACTATGTGGAAATCGGGCACTTCTGACATGTTCCATTGCCCTCATCTCAAGGTTCGCATACCTGTAGGAACATAAGGCCTTGCATCCTGCCAAGTGCTGAAATGATTTTTGACTCAAACCAGGCAAATGAAGGTATTCATTTCCAAAATCTAAGCTAAAGAACATGGTTGCAAAGGGTTATATAAAGAAATCATTGGAAGCAAAATCCAAGAAAACCCTTCTTAATCTATACACCCCAGAACCAAACCTAGAACCACTTCCTCCCGCTCAGGTGGAAGTAGGGAGGGATCTCATCTCCACAGGCTACAGCTCCTCTTCATCTGATGGAGATACCACTCTTCCAGGAGATGTCCAGTTCTCCTTCCTTCTTTGGGGATCTCTGAGGTTCTCCTATTCCTCTGCTCCCAGAGGATTTAATACTTTTCTCAGTTAGGAGGAATTCTTGACCTTTCATCCCCCTTCCTCTGACCATTAAATGCAAATATCCCTTGGTATTATTGGTGCCATTATCTCCTGCCACAACAGTAACAAAAAAAATCAACCCAAGATTGCAACAAACTTAGTATTTCCTAAAAGGATAGTCTGTCCATTCTGGGACACAGTTCTTCTCCCTGCTTAATTGGTTAGTGTTCAAACCCCAGAATGAAGCTTCTTTATTCTTTATATTCCCTATAAAGATAAAACCTGCTAATCACGTGTAATACTATCCCATCACTGAGAAGAATGCATTCATCCCATTACGGCTTCTCTTTTGAGGTCAGACACAATGGCAGCCAAATCTCTGCGTGTTGGTAATAGGTTAGAGCGCGACTGCCCCCAGCCCTGTCTTTGAGGGATACTCTGACTTAAGCCAGGATCCTGGGATGCTCAGCACAAGGGCTTTGTTCTGGGTCACTGTTTAATAACAACTGCCGGACATGTGATGGGGCTAAAACCTACAGGAGTTCCAAGGGCAGCTGCAGATTGATTGAACAACTGCCCCAGGAGTCCCAGTGCCAAACCCCACATTCCCAGTTATCCACCACTCCCAAAATGGACGGCAGAGCATAGCATTAACATGTGCTTAGCAGGGAAGACAAAGGTTAAACAAAAAAAAAAAAAAAGGAAAAGGAAAGGGAGAGGGGAAAAAAGAGACCTGTTAAGGTCATCAAGTCCAACCTCTGCCTATGAAGAATTGCTCCCTAGGAGACATTCATTTCTCACAGCAGAGTTTCTGAAGTCCCAAGAGGTGACTTTGCAAGCATCTATTCTGCGGCCTGATAGATCTTACTGTCAGAACGTTCCTGCCATGTAATCAATATGCTTCC